GAGCTTCACTCTTCCTTTAAAAACATCTAATAAACTCATAATGTGGGAGCACCACAGTTGAAGGCAGGGTTACTATACTGAAAATAAGAGTGTTAAATAAACTGAACACTGAGGGCCTACCCACAGCCTTTCTCCTCCACTCAGCTTGCAGATCACAGGTATTCAGCGCTATAACCTCAAGGAAAGAGACTAGAGGATCCTTCCAGAGAATCTGACCAGCACTAGTGCAAAGACCTAATGACACTGAAGTTGCTCTATGAACAGCCCAGGCAGATCACCATTAGGATGAGGTCCAAAATCTGTAAACTCCACCCAGGTATTTAAAATTTCCAATTAGCTTTTTAATAACTCCTTTTAAAATATGAACAGTCAAGGAGTGTCAGACATCTGGGGAAAACTCCAGCATGAAAAGCAGAATTCAGATCCTATTTATAGTGAAGAAATTTGAGGAGTCAAATGAAAAGTTGTTTGAAAGAAGCATAATAATTAGTTTATCTTGACCAAAGTTTGCCAGTGATTAAAACATCAAATCAGGGAATTCCCTGGTGGAAGCTGTGCTTCTACTGAAGGGGACCTGGGTTTGAACTCTGGTTGGGGAACTAAAGATCCCACAAGCCATTTAGCACAGCCAAAAAAAAAAAAATCAGATGGACTTATGCCATCAAGCTGATTAATAAACAGCTCCTTCCAAACTTAATGGTTCATTTTACTGATGGCTATTCATTTCATCAGGGACAAGAGGCATATAACAAAGTATTGATAGAATTTGCGAAGTCTGGCAAGGTGTTATATTGTATCTGCATTTTATTTTTCTAATTCTAAAGATATCAGTTGTTGAATAGATCTACATAAAGATTGTTTGAGTATCGCAATGAAGGCACTAAAATAAAGAAATCAATGGGTCATAAAAGCATTAAGAGACATCACTGATGCCTACTAATCACTGATGCTACATGTTGTTAGACTTCTGTATGTACAAAATTCTAGATGAACCTAGAGGAGGGAAGTCTCCCATCCCATGGCACCTTACCTTTGAAAGTCAGGGAAGACTTCATGGAAAACCCAGTAGTTGAGAAGAGTTTTAAAGAAAGAGTAGAGATTGTCAAGTAAAACAGAAGAACAGGAAAAGAGTACAGCATAACAGAAAGACTATCATGGGTCAGAACATACATAAGGGTGGGGGGTTAAGAAGCTGTAAATAATGCAGTGTCAGTACAGCAAAAGTAAGGGAAGTAGGAGGAGGCAGGGATCAGATCAAGGAAGACCTAATATGTGACAGGAGTTCAGACTAATCTGAAGGCAACTGAGAGCCAATGAAGAGTTTTAAGAGCAAATTAAGATGACTAGATTTTAATTTTGGAAAATATCACCCTGATGATGATATAATAGATTTTAGAGGTGGAAACGGAAAGGCTGGTGGCTGCAGCCTTCCCAGCTATGTACTGTTTCTAAAAGGCAGCTCTCGTGCTTACAAACCCAGGTTCTGATCTCAGCTTACTGTGAAGCAGATTATTCTATCTTTGATACCAGTAGATACTAAAGACACTCTAAATGATCCCTCTGAGGAAACTAGCCTACCAAGGCCTCCACCACTAGGTTCTTTCTTTTTTTCTCCTAAAGTCTTCTTTAAAGGCACAAAGACTGTGTTAGGTTACACTGTATCAGGGTATGTCTCTCAACCTGGTTCTAAGGAAGGTACGCATGAACCCCAAGTCCCTACCTCCCAATTCCCAATGACTTCAGCAATTTTCTGCCACTTCTCAGAGCTATACTAAACTAACACACATATAAACTAACATGTACACATGGACACACAATCATTCATATACATGTCTGGTTTTTCCATGTACACTCTTTAGGGAAATGGGAGGAAAGATGGAAAGGAATATTTAACAAGCACCAACTTAATGCTTGATTCTTTCCTCACTTCTTTCATTTAATGTCTCAGTACTCGTTACAACCTTGAACAAAGTAGATATTTATATTCTCATTTTTAGAGATGAAGAAACCATGGCTCAAAGAGAATAAATGACTTACCCAAGATCACAGAGCAGGAATAAGGCAAAGCTGAGATTTGAAGCCACATGTCTATGGGTTTACCAAGGCTTTTCTACCACCTCACTCTAGGTTTCTCTGTACCTTATTTATTCATTACTAAATCTCCACTTACTCAGTCGTTGAACTGCATTATACCAAGCCACTCACTGAACACATCAATGATCTGGAAAAACAACCAAACAGAAGAACCAAGTACAAATGGAAAACTTGGGCAATAGACACAGTTACCAGAAAGAAAAGTGGAAAGAAAAAAAAGAAAAACAAAAAAGGAAATAAGCAGCAGCAGCAACACTGATTCCAACAAGCTCTTAAGAGCCCTAGCTGAACTGTTTATAATAGCCAGGACATGGAAGCAACCTAGATGCCCATCAGCAGACAAATGAATGAGGAAGCTGTGGTACATATACACCATGGAATATTACTCAAGTATGACAAAAACCACTGCAATGATGTAAAGTAATTAGCCTCCAACTAATAAAAATAAATGAAAAAAAAAAAAAAGAGCCCTAGCTGATACCAGCAAGTACAGATATAGCCAAAACTCATGTTGACAAATATCCATTTCTAAATTTTATCTCCTCCATAGCCAGCCCCAGCAGAGTGCCCAGTCAGGCACACATCACAAAATGAATTTCAATAAGCAGACGCAATCTCTCCCTGAGGCCTTCCCACTCTTATAGAACCACTAGAGAAAGCTTTTGTTCTCCATTTGAACAACTGTCTACAAGCCCTTGGTGGCAAAGGGAAATTGGATTTGAGAAGCAGATGGCTTGTCAAAGAGCCTAAAACCTAAGGTGAAAAGGAAGCAATTCATTAAAACCAAGCTTTCCAAAAGAGAAACCACATTCTCTAAGGTGACAAAGAGTGCTGAAACAGTTATATGACTTGCCCTCCAAACAGTGTCCCCAAAGCACCTTGTAGCAGGTCTTGTAGCCAAGACTAGCCCTAGCTGCACTGGTCCATAGATATTATCACAGGTTCATACTAACACTGTAGATTTTTCTAAAAGCTAGAATCACTTGTTTGCAACAATAAGTGCTTGGTTATGGAGATTTCATTATAGAAAGATCTTGTTATGGAGAAAAGATTATATCAATTAGATCCTCAATATAATAAGGAGAGAGAAGGAACTCAAAAGGTTAAACAAGATAATTTAAGTAAAGAGTCTAGAAATTGAGCTGGCACAAGGTAGACGCTTAATCAGTGTTTGCTGGAATGAACTGAAGAAGAGAAATTAGCATTCGTTTAGTATCTTCTGATTAACACTACTACTACTAAGTCGCATCAGTCGTGTCCGACTCTGCGTTCCACAGACAGCAGCCCACCAGACTCCCCTGTCCCTGGGATTCTCCAGGCAAGGATACAGGAATGGGTTGCATTTCCCTCTCCAGTTCATGAAAGTGAAAAGCGAAAGTGAAGTCACTCAGTCGTGTCCAACTCCTCGAGACCCCATGGACTGTAGCCCAACCAGGCTCCTCCGTCCACGGGATTTCCCAGGCAAGAGTACTGGAGTGGGTTGCTACTGCCTTCTCCTTCTGATTAATAAAAGTGACCTAAACAGCTTTTGAATATTTCACCTCATTTAATCCATAAAACAATTCAGAACAAGTGTTAATTATCCTCATATATATATAATATAATATACATGTTATATTTTACATACATAATAAGACATTCAAAAAGATTAAGCAACTTGCTTGGTCTTGGTCATTTAGTTATTAAGGGACAAAAATTTGGGATTTGTTCATGGTATCAGAAAGTTACAAACTGAGCAAAAATAAATAAGCAATGCCATTCATATTTGTTTTAAAGTTTTTCACTGCACAATAAAACAACTGGAGGTAAACAGTGGACTCAGAATTGGAATGACTGAGCTCTGGTCTTAACTGTGCCAAATTGCTGTGCAGTTTAAGTCTCTTCCCCTTTCTGGATTTTAATTTTCTCACCTAACTTAACAGTGGTAAAACATTTAACTTAAAAATGAGTTAAACTATCTTGAAATTCCAGGAATATATTATATACAATCGAGACTCTTTACTGGACAAGAAATTTTCCCTTATTGCCCAGTGTTCACTCTGCTCTTCCTCTGGCTACATGTTCAGGACTAACAGCTTATCTCCATCTGTCCATCAGCCATTTGTAAGCCAGAAGCATCCTTTATGGTACAGCTTACCACCTGTGCTGGATGTTTCATTAAGTGTAAAGCTGATACCATAGTTTGCTGGAAGCCTGGTGCACAAATGTTACCTGTAGATGAATAAATCATTCCAGTTGTGTTGGGTTGCAACTGTAAGGGTAGCAGCTGCGGGTCTGAAAACAGATGGTCTTACAAGGATGAAGGACTTGGCTCCTACCTGATTCTCCTAAGGCAAGCAGGTTTGGGTCAGCAGGAAGCCTGGCTGGGAAGTGCTGGAGTAGAGTTAGTATTCAGTGATGAGGAAAGATGACAGAAATGCACATGCAGTTTCTTTCCATAATAAATGAATATATTAGAGGCTGTAATTACCAGAATCCCAAACTCTTATTTTTATACCTATTCATCAACTTCTAAATCATTTTCTTTTCAGTCCAACACTCTTCCTCAATTTTTCAATACAAAGGTGAGTTCAGGGAGAGTGACTAGCAGAGCCCAGACACAGGAATAGAAATTTAAGATCTGCTGACTAAACCACTTGGAAAAAAAAAAAAACAAAAAAACAAATTGAACTTACCAGATGACAGTGAAACAGCTGACATAATAGAAGATGTGCAGTAAACATATATTTAACAAAGTAAGTGCCAGACAACATTCCAGGTATTGTACATACACTCTCTCATTTAATTCACAATAGGCTTTATTTTATTATCTCCATTTTGTATATAAGGAAATTAAAGCTCAGAGAAGTCAAGGATTTTGCCTAATCACACAGTAAATTAAGTGACAGGAATCAGAAGTGACTCACCAGGGCTTTAAATGATTTCAAAGCTCTAAGCATTTTGTTTGTCAACCTCTTGTCCAACGAATAACGACCTTCTTGCTGCTCCTCAAACACATCTAGTTCACTCCCACCTGTGGACCTTTATGCCTGCTATTCCCTCTATCTTCCTATTTCCTCATTGTTTTCTACTTTAGATCATTCATGGCTCTGCTCAAATGCCACCTCTTCAGAGAAGCTTTTCTTGATCATCCCCCCAACATATACTGTTCCCTTACTTTGCTTTATTTTTATTATGGCATTAACATTATATTATTTATTAGCTTATTTATCTGTTTACTGTCAGTCTCCTCCACTAGAATGAAAGGTCTTTGAAGACAAAGACATTTTCTTGGTCACAACTATATCCCCTGTGGATAGAATGGTAACTAGTACATTGCAGGTGCTCAGTAAATATTCAATCAATCAATCAATGAATTCTATGTCATTGAAACCACAGAGCTCTAGAATGTTAGTGTAAAAAAAGTACTTGTTACATATTATAAGGAGCACAGACTTTGTGATCAGGCAGATCTGGGTTCAAGTTTCTAACTGACTATGACTGTGTGACTTTGGACAAGTCTCTAAACTTCTTTAACCTTCACATCTGTAAAATGGGTATAAGTCCCACAGATCTATTATGATGACTAAATGCAATAAACACATGAAAATGCTTTGTACAAACTATAATGTGTTATATAAATATATGATGAGATATTATTACAATGAGAAAAAGTTTAGAGACAATCTTGTCAAGCCTTTCACTTTAAAGATCACCCTAAGGCCCCCCAAACTGTCTGACAGTTATCTAGAACTAAACAATACTTAGACTCTAGGTTCCCAGGCAACCAAACTGGGACAACTGCCATTACCCCTACAAATCACTTGACCTCTGATACTTCACTTTCTCTTGAATCTTCTTGCACCTCACTGGCTACTCCTTTGATCTTCTCAAACACCAAACCCCCACCAGTGTCAGCATGTCCAGGGCTCAGATGTCAGATTTCTTTTCTGCTCTCTCTATATACATTTCTTGGGTGATAACATCTACTCAATGGCTTTAGATATACTGATTTCCACTTCTGACCTGAATTTCCCTGAATTCCAGACTTGCATACTCAACAGCCTATTCAACATCTCCTTTTGTTTGTCTTACAACCATCTGAAATGTAACATGTCTAACGCCAAATACTTGACCCTTCCTTACAAACCTGCACCTGCCAGTCTTTCCCATCTCTGTAAATAGCAACTCTAATCTTACAGTTGCTCAAGGTGAAAACCTTCCATTGACTACTTTCTTAACTCAGTGAGGAATATTCTTTCCCTCCTTGCTGTTCATTTGCAAACTAAGCATAACCCCACCTCAAGGATTTAGTATTTATAATTTTCTCTGCCTAAAGCATTCTTCTCTCAAACTATCAATATGACGAGTTTCTTTATTTCATATCTGCTCAAATTTCACTTCACCAAAAAGGTCTGTGTCAACCAGTCATATCTTAACTATTAATAGGTCCCTCCCAGGAATTCCCTAGCAGTCCAGTTGTTAAGACTTGGCACTCTCGCTCCCAGGGACCTAGGTTCAATCCCTGGTTGGGGAACTAAAATCCCACAAGCCATGCAGCATGGCCAAAAATAAAATAAATTAAAAAAATAGATCCCTTCCTTTCAATAACTCCCTTTTCCCATATACTGCCTAATTTTTCATATCTCTGTCCACTAGATTGCCATTGAAATCAGGGACTTTATTCACTGCTATATCCCCAGTGCCAAGATCAAATTGTATGTGCTCTATAACCCATAACATTAACAATTTAACCATTAATTATTTTTTAATTAATATCTTATGTCCTTAATCTAGCCTTCCCCTAAAGAGACTACACATTATTTTCAAATGAAAATCTCTATTCTGGATATCCTCTCTGAGAACCTTCAATTTAACTACTGATAATGTAGAAGTAACTAAAAAAGGAGAGATTGATAAAATGAAGCCCTATTTTTCTTCCTCTGGGTTCCTCTTATAATCAGCTAACAAATCAGCAAGTATTAATAAGCACACCTTTGGGTTCAGACCATCACCTTATTAAAGAGGGATATAACCTAGCTACATAGTAAAACACAGAGAGATACATAATAATAGTAATAAGATGGACAATAAACACATGAAAAGATAGCATCATTAGCCATCAAGGAAATACAAATCAAATCACAAGATACCACTCAGTTCACATTCACCAGAATGACTAAAATGAAAAAGACAAGTGGTGGAGAGGATGTGGAGAAAGTGAAACCCTCATATACTGCTGGGGGAATAAAATGGTACAACCACTTGAGAAAACAGTCTGGAGTTCCCCAAAGGGTTAAACATAAACTTATAATATGATCCAGCAATTCCACCCCTAGAATTCCTCTACCTAAGGAAAATGAAAACATATAACATATATCCACACAAAAATTTGAGATACAAATGTTCACAGCAGCATTATTTGCAACAGCTAAAAAGCATTAGCTGGTAAATAGGCAAATAAACTGATTAATTTATTAATTTAAATTAATTTATTTACATTTATATATTTGTATAATATTTATATATTAATTTATATTAAGTTTATTAATTTACTGATTTAACATTAACTGATGAATAGATAAATATCCATATACTGGAATGCTCTGCAATAAAAAGGAATGAAGTATTGATACATGATACAACATGGATGAACCCTGAAAACATTACAATGCTTAAATGAATGAAGTCTCGTCATAAAAAGCCAAATATTTTATGATAACATTTATATGGAATATCCAGAATAGGCAAGCCTACTGTAGAAGACAGATTGGTGGTTGCCTAGGGCTATGGAGATGGGAGAAGCATGGGGTGACTGCTAAAGGGTATATGTTTCTCTGTGGGATAATGAAAATGTTCTAAAACTGACTGTGATGATGGCTGCACAATTTCGTGAATAAAAAGGCACTGAGCTGTATGTTTCAAATGGGTGAATTGTATGGCATGTGGATTATAGCTCAATAAAGCTGTTATTAAAAAACTTTAAAAATGTAATCTGGGGGTTGTTTCAGATTCCATTTATCAACATTCTTACTATTCACAATCAAATGAACGTTTAGTGAAAGCCAGATGACTCCTCCTTTACTCAACACAACCAAAAAGTCCGTGAGATAGGAGTTGTCACCTCACCCACTTTGCAGTTCATAAAACTTAAATGAATTAAGATCCAATACTTTGGCCACCTGATGTGAAGAGCCAACTCACTGGAAATGACCCTGATGCTGGGAAAGACAGAAGGCAGAGAAGAAAGGGATGACAGAGGATGTGATGGTTGGATGGTATCACCAACTCAAAGGACATGAGTTTGAGCAAGCTCTGGGAGCTGGTGAAGGACAGGAAAGCCTGGTGTGCTGCAGTCCATGAGGTCACAAAGAGTCAAACACAACTGAGCAACTGAACCACAATAACAAGATCTAGAGAGAATTATCAACAACCTGAGATATGCAGATGATACCACTTTAATGGCAGAAAGTGAAGAGGAACTAAAAAGCCTCTTGATGAAGGTGAAAGAGAAGACTGAAAAACCTGGCTTAAAATTCAACATTCAGAAAATTAAGATCATGGCATCTGGTCCTATCACTTCATGGCAAATAGATGAGGAAAATGTGGAAACACTGTCAAATTTCATTTTCTTGGGCTCCAAAATCACTGTGGACGGTGACTACAGCCACTAAATTAAAAGATGCTTGCTCCTTGGAAGAATAGCTATGACCAACCTAGACAGCATATTAAAAACCAAAAACATCACTTTGCTGACAAAGGTCCGTATAGTCTAAGCTATGGTTCTTCCAGAAGTCATGTATGGATGAGAACTGGACCATAAAGAAGACTGAGTGCCCAAGAATTGATGCTTTCAAACTGTGGTGTTGGAGGAGATGCATGAGAGTCCCTTGGACTACAAGGAGATCAAACCAGTTAACCCTAAAGGAAATCAACTTAATATTCATTGGAAGGACTGGGCTGAAGCTCCAATACTTAGGCCACCTGATGCGAAGAGTTGACTCAACAGAAAAGACTCTGATAATGGGAAAGACTGAAAGTAAGAGGAGAAAGGGGCAACAGAGGATGAGATGGTTGGATGGCAATACTGACTCAATGGATATGATACTGAGGAAACTCCAGGAGATAGTGAAGGACAGGAAAGCCTGTCATGTTGCAGTCTATGGGGTCACAAAGAGTGAGACATGACTTAGCAACTGAACAATAAGATCTAGAGTAAATTATCAGAGACAAGAGTTGGTCCTACATTCATGAATTCCAAATCTAGGGCTCTTTCTCACTCTCATTCCCAACTTCTTGATAGGAAGTATAATTAAGACCTAGCTGTCAGTTCAGTTCAGTCGCTCAGTTGTGTCCGACCCTTTGCCACCCCATGCACGCCAGGCTTCCCTGTCCATAACCAACTTCTGAAGCCTACTCAAACTCACGTCCATTGCATCGGTGATGCCCCCCCCCCCAACCATCTCATCCTCTGTCATCCCCTTCTCCTCCCACCTTCAATCTTTTCCAACATCACAGTCTTTTCCAATGAGTTGGTTCTTCGCATCAGGTGGCCAAAGTATTGGAGTTTCAACTTCAGCATCAGTCCTTCCAATGAATATTCAAGACTGATTTCCTTTAGAATGGACTGGTTGCATCCGAGAGACTCTCAAGAGTCTTCTCCAACACCACAGTTCAAAAGCATCAATTCTTCAGTGCTCAGCTTCCTTTAGAGTCTAACTCTCACATCCATACATGGCTACTGGAAAAACCACAGCTTTGACTAGATGGACCTCTGTTGGCAAAGTAATGTCTCTGCTTTTTAATATGCTGTCTAGGCGGATCACAGTTTTTCTTCCAAGGAGCAAGTGTCTTTTAATTTCATGGCTGCAGTCACCATCTGCAGTGATTTTGGAGCCCCCTCCCACCCCAAATAAAGTCTGTCACTGTTTCCATTGTTTCCCCATCTATTTACCATGAAGTGATGGGACCAGATGCCATGATCTTAGTTTTCTGAATGTTGAGTTTTAAGCCAACTTTTTCACTCTCCTCTTTCACTTTCATCAGGAAGCTCTTTAGTTCTTCTTCACTTTCTGCTATAAGGGTGGTGCCATCTGCATATCTGAAGTTACTGATATCTTTCCTGGCAATCTTGATTCCAGCTTGTGCTTCATCCAGCCTGGCATTTCACATGATGTACCCTGCATATAAGTTAAATAAGCAGGGTAACAATAAACAGCCTTGACATACTCCTTTCCCGATTTGGAACCAGTCTGTTGTTCCATGTCTGGTTCTAACTGTTGCTTCTTGACCTGCATACAGATTTCTCAGGAGGCAGGTAAGGNTTTCTTTGCATTGATCGCCGAGGAAGGCTTTCTTATCTCTCCTCTCTTTTGGAACTCTGCATTCAAATGATGTATCTTTCCTTTTCTCCTTTGCCTTTAGCTTCTCTTCTTTTCTCAGCTATTTCTAAGGCCTTGTCAGACAACCATTTTGCCTTTTTGCATTTCTTTTTCTTGGGGATGGTCTTGATCACTGCCTCCTGTACAATGTCATGAACCTCTGTCCATAGTTCTTCAGGTACTCTACCAGATCTAACTGAAGTATAATTAAGACCTAGCTTTAGCACTTAGTCACAAAAGTCATAAATTAATAAGCTAAGGACTAAGAGATCATAAGAAAATATTTAAAATCACCCTTTAACAGAATGATTATCAAAATTATATATCATAAAATCTAATATCCCTACATTTAACT